GTTAAAAAAGAATAACAACCAGGAGCGCCAAAAAAACATCTATGTAACATTCGCCGGGAAGATACATATCGACGGAAAATAAAGCTAGGTTCTAAGACGACTGGCCAAAGTCTAAACAGAGCTCTACATGCTTTTCACCGTCTCTACCAAGCCAGTAATTTCGGTGGTCTTTCTAACATCGGGTCGACAAAATTGTTACTGCTTTCGGCTTCGGTCAGAACACTCAAATTAACTAGATTACATGCAGAAATAGTGAGCTCGTGGCTGGGTGTCAGTATCCCCAGACCACGAGGTCACTCCTAAAATCAGGGCTACTACTAATTATTGAATTATTATTATTTTTGTTCAGTAGATAAAATCATCATCTCCATCGAAGATGGATCAACCCTTTCCCCCAACTCCTAGCTTCTCATCCTAGCAAAATGAATTCAGATGTTAATTAAATTCAACTCAGGACATGACAGGGAAGATAAAAATTTATATAAGATAATAAAAGTTCCAGTCCCGAGACCCCTCCGGATTCCTGAATCCGGGGAAATAAGGCCTTTATTCTCCTTCCGGAAGGCTGTCTTCCACCCTTCAACGTTGTTCGCAACGGCCTTGCAAATATTGTAGCGACACAATAGTTGCAACTCGGAACGGTCTCTGCTAACTCTGCGATTTGTTGTGTTTTCTCCGGTTTTCTGCCAAAATGGCCATTTCTGACGTTTCTCAGAAATATGACGTCATACTTCGAAAATTTAAAAATTTGAAACACCAGAATATTCTAGCCTTCACCGTTTGACTAATCGTCCCAATAACGTTGTTAATCTCTTAAAACCGCCAATTCGGAAGGTTCGCTGCTAAAATCTCGAATCTGCTGAATCTGCATTTTGGCGCATTCTGGTCGATGGAGATGATTATTTTTATCCACTGAACAAAAACAATAATAATTAAATAAGTTGTGGTAGCCCTGATTTTAGGAGTGACCTCGTGATCTGGGGATACTGAGACCCAGCCATGAGCTCACTAATTTTGCATGTATCTAAGTTAATCTGAGTGTTTTGACCGAAGCCGAAAGCAGTAACGTTTTTGTCGACCCGATGTTAGAAAGACCACCAAAAGAACTGGCTTTGGTTGAGACGGTTAAAAGCATGTAGAGCTTTGTTTAGACGTTAGCCAGTCGTTTTATAGCTTGGCTCTATTTTCCGTCGATATGTACTTCCGGGCGAATGTTACAATGTTCGCAGTAATGTGGTGTACCAAATGGAATGTTCAAGATGCCAATCTACTACCCGCCAACTTGCCACAAGACTGAGCAACCATTCCACAATCAGTAATCCAGTTGGGGAGCACTTACAGACAGGTGGTTCTGCTCTTGAGAAAGGCGAAGTGAAGATTATAGACACAGCCAGAGACCTCTAAACTTTTGACTTTAGAAGCCTTGCATATCAAGCGGAAAAAGCCTCTGGTTAACAGAAACGAGGAGTTGTTGTTGTTGTTGTTGTGAATTTTCAGTAGGATACTGATGGGATGATATCCCCAAAGTTCTCAAAATTTTGTCCAGTTATTTCGGCACATGTTGCAGTCACAAAAGAGGACCCATGTGCACTTGTTTTGTTCTGAGAATTGATCGTCGAAAAACTTCCACATCGTCTGTATCAATCTTCGCTTTAAGCCTCGCATTTCTCGAAATTCAATTTTCTGATTTAGTCGGTTTATTAGACGGCACGTCCTGAATGTACACTCTCCTCTAGCTTTTTCAGTTCTGGTCTTGTTTAGGTTGAACATTTCTTTCGTTCTTCCTGGATATTCAATTTTTGCTGGGAGCATAATGTGATCGTTTTCTTCATGCATGAATTTCGCCATCATCAGTAACTCGTTCAGCTAGAGAAACAACGCAAGAGGCGGGATGTTTAACAAACTCAGCTGCTCTGTATAGTCAGAATTGTTTCCCGTGATCCATTCTAAGACTTTCTTTTGGAACCTTTCTAATCTCCCTAAGTCGCTTCTCGAGATATTGCAAATAATTAGACCATACGTTAGAACAGGAAGTATTAAGGATTTGTACAGACCAAGTTTTATGCGCATTTTGACTTTGAATTCTAAGTTTCTGCGGATGCAATAGAACGTTTTATTCGCTTTCGATATTCTTGAGTCAATATGGGTTGTCCATGTTAAATGTTTAGACACATGTATTCCTAGATCCTTTATCACATTCGAGCTTTCCACTGCTGTTTCACAAAGAATGAATTCGTGTTGATTTCCTCTAAATTCGACTTTAAAACATTTGTCCAGTGCCAGACTCATCTTGTTTTTGTCTACCCAGTTTTCAACGCTTTTTAGGTCCTGCTGGATGTCCTTTGTGTCTACATTCAATGCTAGTAATTTTAGGTCGTCTGCAAAGATAAATGGGTCACTAAATTTCAATACTTCAGGAAGATCATTTATGAAGATACAGAAGAATAATGGACCAATCAACGATCCTTGTGGTACGCCACTTGTAATTTCTAAAGTTTCTGATGAGAAATTGTCAGCACGAACAAATTGTTTCCTGTTGCTGAGATAGTCTGCGATTATTTCAAGGAAACAGCCTCCAACTCCAATGTTGCTCATTTTCTTTAGTAGTTCATAATGTGGGACTTTGTCGAATGCCTTAGAGAAGTCGGTATAGAATGCGATCACATGGTTTTCAGCGTTCTTGTCAATAGCTTCGTAGATTTCTTTCAAGAAAGATAACATGTTTGTAACAACTGAACGGTTTTTAACAAAACCGTGCTGACTTCTTGTGAGAAATTTAATGAAATGGTCATACAACGCTGGATACAAGCATTTTTCCAGGAGTTTACTCATGATATTTAGGAGTGACACTGGCCGGTAGTTTTCCATTAGTCGTTTGTCACCTTTCTTGTAAATAGGCGACACAGCCGCAACTTTCCATTTATCTGGTATTTTCCTTACGCTCTTGATGTTTTTAAAAACGCAATGCAAAACTGTGGTCATTTCTCTGGCCGTTCGCTGGAAGAAAATTGGTGGGAATCCATCTGGGCCCCGCGATTTTGTTATGTCCAGCTCTGTTATAATTTGGTTCAAATATGTTTTTGAGATACTGAAGTTACTCAATATCGTGTTTTCGCACTTCATATCACTGAGGTTGAAGCTTGATTTGGGCGAAAAGACAGAGTGAAAATATTCATTCAAAAAGTTCACTTTTTCTTTGGCTTTGGTAACAGCTATTTCGTCCTTGATCATAGTCTTTGGGAGAGTTTCTGATTTTTTCAGACTCTTAAAGTGTTTGAAAATTAAATGTGTGTTTTGAGAGGACATCAAGTTTTCCTGATAGTTTACTCTAACTTCCTCTACTGCTTCTTCCACCATTTTATTTAGAGATAGAATGAGATTTCTGCGGTAGCTTGTAGGTTTCAATTTGTATATTCTAGTTTGTGTTCGCAGTTTGTTCATGAGGTTTGAGGTACTTGGCGTAACCCATGGGGGAAGTGATTGGCGACGTCTCGTTCTTCCAGGCACATGTTGGTTTACCAAATTTTCCAATTAGTCGTAAAGTTCCTCGCACATTCTGTTGATGTTTGTGTGACATACTGGTGAGAAAGGCTCACTTAGTATTGATTTCTTGATTTCGTTATAGTCCACGCTACCGAAGCTTCGAAAGTTTTCAATAGCGACTTTTACCTCATGGTGAGGACATTCAATTAGAATGCTGATTGCTTTGTGGTCGGAGCAATTGTAAATTTTTGAGAAATTTTCGCCAGGAGTCGCATGAATGTGACAATTTTTGAATAATGTAATGTCTAGGGTGTTTTTGCCACAAGTTGGAAAATCTATTGCCTGTTCGAACTGATGTTGCTCGATTAGTTCAATTATTGAGTTTTCTTCATTTTCCTTGCTACTATAGTCAATCCAGTTTGCATTTGGAAAATTTACATCTCCGCAAATAATTGTTGCAGTTGATTGATTTGATTTCTCGATTTCATTTAATATTTGTGCGAAATCGCCCAGACAATAGCGATATTTGCTGCTCGAAGGTGGATTGTAAAAACAGCAGACAATAATTAGCTTATCGTTTATTTGGATGCTGCAAGTTAAACAACATTCAGGTTGCTTATTTGGCAATAATTTAGATGAAAATGTTTGTTTCACTGCCATTAGTACTCCACCATGCAAATTTTGATCTTTGGCTGTTTGTCGTTCTGATCTATAAATACTGTATTCATTTAGCATTAGTTCAGATGATTAAGGTAATCAGAAGGTCAAAAGTATTTCATTTAACCAAGTCTCGCAGAGACATATTATGTCATAGTTTGATGTTGCTATAGCATTTGCAAACTTCATTCGTCGTTCGAGATTTATGAGACTTCTTACATTCATTTGCAGGATGTTGAGAAAGCCTAGTCAAGCATCATCTGCTTGTTCCGCTTCTATCATCTCTTTTTTCCCATCATTGAACAGCTCGAAATTCCTGATTTTGATTTTCTCCTTGTGATTTTCTCCGGAGTGCAAGGCACGCGAACTTTCAATGAAGCTGTGATTACGTTGTTCCATATTTTCCTGGCTTGTTTCATCTAACACGAAGCGCTATTGTAGAGGAGGGACGGTAAAGATAAATTAATACGATGCATTTAATGCTGATATGTGACTTCATTGATACACTTTGCTGATATATATGCATTTTTATAACGCTGGCATAACCGTATCCAGCCGGTGCATTGACCGTAACTAAACGGAAGGTCCCCTTTTGCAACTTTTTTTTTTAAATAAAAAGACAATGAGGTAGTGGTTATAGGGCCTCGTTTTCTTAATCTCATATGGGACTAGAGTGAGCGACTCTTACAATGTGGAGCCTGGAGGAATATTATGTGGTGGTATTTTTATGTGGGTAGATATTAGAAGTATTTGCCTCACGTTACTAACTGGTGTCTATCTCTTTTAAGCAAGAGATGTGTGAATGAACTGTAAAACTATCTGTCATTAAGTTGCATTTCAGACTTGTCTGATTCGCGAAAATGTCTGATGCTCCCGTTGTGCGACAAAGACGAACCTTCAGGAAGTATACATACCGAGGAGTAGACTTAGATGCCCTCCTTCAAATGAAACAGGAGCAGTTGTCTCAATTGTTCGGATACCGACAACGCAGAAAGATGTTGAGGGGATCCAAGCAACGTCAGTATACGAATCTGCTGAAGAAACTGAGGAAGGCTAAAAAGAACACCAAGCCCGACGAGAAACCAGCTCCCGTCAAGACTCATCTGCGAGATATGACAATTATTCCGGAAATGGTTGGATCGATTGTTGGTGTCTACAATGGAAAGTTGTACAATCAGGTATTAATTGGATGAAATTATTTTTATTTGGGAATTAGTTGTTATTACCTTTGCGATAAGCAAGGGTATTGCAATAGGGTACTAGACTTTTTTTTTACCAGTAAAAAACTTTGTCCACAAGACGCATCTGGACTTGTGTATTTTAGGCCAATTTTTAAAGCAACTTCGTACAGTTTTTTTTCCATATTTTAACCATATTTTTTTTCAAGTGATTTAGCGCCCACAAAATTATGAGAAAAAATCATTCATTGTCTGATTAACTTAGCGAGCTCGCGAGGTCTGATTAGCTTCTTTTTTCTAACTTAACTCGCAAATAAAAGTGTTTATTTACTCGCATTAACTCTAACTTAACTCGCATCTGTTCTCTGCTTTATTTGGGGCTGGTTTTTGACGGTCATTAATGGTGGTTAGTGAGGTAGACTCATATTCTCTAGAATTGTGTTGTTGCTACTAATTGCGAAGCGCTGCTCCGCCTCCTTGTACAAAATTGATGATCTGTGAAGAAAAAAAGACGCTTTTAAAATAGTTTTTTTAAATTAAATATGTTATTGCTGTTTTAATAAATTTTATTTGAACATTATAATTATTATAATTTGTGTAGATTTTGCGGTCGACCGCAAGGGGTTCCCCTAATAAAAAGATGAGTTCAGTTCGTTAACAGTCTTCAGTTAGTACCGTCACAAAACATCTTCCAGGTGCTTGTGTGGTATTTATTAAAGTGGAGTTGGAAATGGGCCACAAATGTTCAATACAGGAATGTTTTGATTCCTGTCGTGTAGAAAATATTGACCTCTAGTATCAGGTTTACAAGACGTAGGCTACGATACCAGTAGTTCTGCTCCGCACAAGTCTTGGTTGGTCTAAAGCAATTAAGCAAATCTGGAACCACTACGGGCAGGGGCGGATTTAAGGGGGGGGGACGATACTTTTTAACAAATCCGTTTTTAGCCGACCGACTAAAAACAAAACCGTTTTTAGCCCCTATGATACTTTTTAACAAATCCGTTTTTAGCCGACCGACCCCAAAATTTTTCTAAGGGCGCCTTTGGTGCCGATATATACAAACTCTGAGGGGGAGCGCGCGCCGAAAAAACGCAATTTTTTTCGTCAAAATTTTCCAAACAGTGCCCAAAAACGTCTTTTTTGACCTGTTTTTTTTTCAATAATTTGCCTGGGCGCAGAAAGTTTGGCCAAAACAGCGTCTCTTCAGCGCTTTAGGAGAGCTCAGAAAAATAATTTGGTTGGTGTAACTACAAAAAAAGTTCGTCAAAATTTTCGAATTTTTTTTGAAAGTCCGCCCCTGACTACGGGTACTGAGCGTGGTTGAGCAAGATCGGGTGCTAATGTTATTGGAAAAGTCATTTAGTAGAAGCCATTTACTATTTTTGAGAATAGTATAAGGTCTACTGTTTGCTGGTAGTATGGGATGTGTAAGATGTTCAGGATAGTGAGGGCACCTTTATAATAAAAAAACAGATTACTTCCATTTTGATCTAGAGGTAACGCCGTCGTGCTTGCACCCTAAGTTATGCTGCTCGCGTCTCGGCCGGATGTTTTTTTTCTAAATATGTATGCAATTGAAAAAAAGTCTGGTATAAATTGAATTGCAGGACTTTAGTCTGTGTGCTTAAGTTTTGTCGCTTAGTTGCCATATCAAGGCTTTTGCTTACGCTGTTACCAACTTTCATTGTAGTTGCAAGTCCAAATGTTAGTCATTGTAATTTTAGGAGGGACTCAAAACTTGAAAGATTTTAAAAGTAAAGTCTTTCGTTTTCGGCCCAATTTGTTTCTGCGCAGATTGTAGGCTTTGTTTCGTCTTAGTAAGTTTTGTTCCGTTGCTGAGTCGATATTCAAATGTCTGGCATGGTTGCCTAGAAGGAACTTCTATCGAGACATAGAAATTTTTAAATTTTGGTAGACCTAGTTTTTATTTCAGTGTTTTGATTTCTTTTTCGACTTGTGTTTTTGTTGTGTAGCAAGTGTGCGAAGCTCCGCTTCGCCTCTGCAATTTTAATGTTTCCCCCTGTTTGCAGGAGTTTACTTGATGAAATTAGCTGCAGTTTTTTTGCTCAAAAGCATTTACTATACATATTTTCTGATTTTGGATTTTTTGTTTTGGTTATTTAATGAACTTTTAGTCACTGTTTTTGTTATTATGGATAAGCATATTGCTATCAACTGTGGCTAAATAAAAAATTGTGAAATTGTGTCTTCTTTCAGGCGAGGCTTATGGTCCAATTGAACAATTAATCAAAAACTTATCCAGATAGCTCATTATGTTTTGATTTTAAAATGTTTTAAAGAATATATGCAAGCTTGTGTTAAATTATCCCATCAGAAATATTACTTTTATTGAGTTTTATTTAATTGAAAGGCTTAAATTGTCAACTAGCAGAAATTCACCTGAAGGTTTTTTTACAGGTGGAGATCAAAGCCGAAATGATCAGTCACTACCTCGGAGAATTCAGCATGACGTACAAACCGGTTAAGCACGGACGACCCGGTATCGGTGCCACCCACTCGTCGCGGTTTATTCCATTGAAGTAGATTGGTTTCTCTGGAATTCCGTTTATTTACCCCCGTTTGATTATTGATGTAAAGTAATATGCTTTGAATTCAATGTTTAAATGGATATGTTTTGACTTCTTTGGACCCGTTATGTGATCACAGAAATGATATTATCGATTATCAAAATCCATTAAAAGTTTCGATTATTTTATGGGTTTTGAGACTTTCAACTGGATTCCAAAGTTCCATTCTATACTGAACCTCACTAAGGTTAACATGTGCAACGAACTGAGTTTTGCATGCTCATGGTTTTTTTCCGACTGCCTATCAAAACAAAAAAAAAACAACACAACGTGCCCGATAAAGATCATTACCTATGCTCAGAGCATTACTCAAGTCAGCCCATTTTAACAGATCATTACACATGCGAGCGTTTTTTGCAACTCAAGTCGCGAGTAAAGAAGCTCATTTATTTGATGTCACTTGCATCAATGAATTGAATTGGGTTTATTTTTTCTGCATAGCATTATATATCTTAATCATTTTCAAGTGACCATGGCGCAGATTATAAGACGTATGACTCGAGATCGAGGGATCGATTACGGCATACAGCAGAGTTTTTAATAAGTCTCAGTTCTTTCACTTTTACTTTTTTGCCGTTGTCTCACTTGTTCGCGAAGTAGAACTTCTCGATAAACCTCCGAAGTCTCTCGCAAACATTCGCTACTATTTGACCTGCGTGTTATTGAGTTGTTTTTACTGTGTCACTTGAGTGATGATGAGTGGTGCAACCGAATAATCGAACATTCGTGCAACGATAAACCTCCGAAGGCTCTCGCGAACATTCGCTACTATTTGACCTGCGTGTTATTGAGTTGTTTTTACTGTGTCACTTGAGTGATGATGAGTGGTGCAACCGAATAATCGAACATTCGTGCAACGATAAACCTCCGAAGGCTCTCGCGAACATTTGCTACTATTTGACCTGCGTGTTATTGAGTTGTTTTTTCTGTGTCACTTGACAGTGATGATGAGTGGTGCAACCGAATAATCGAACATTCGTGCAACGATAAACCTCCGAAGTCTCTCGCGAACATTCGCTACTATTTGACCTGCGTGTTATTGAGTTGTTTTTACGGTGTCACTTGAGTGATGATGAGTGGTGCAACCGAATAATCGAACATTCGTGCAACGATAAACCTCCGAAGGCTCTCGCGATTATTTGCTACTATTTGACCTGCGTGTTATTGAGTTGTTTTTTCTGTGTCACTTGACAGTGATGATGAGTGGTGCAACCGAATAATCGAACATTCGTGCAACGATAAACCTCCGAAGGCTCTCGCGAACATTCGCTACTATTTGACCTGCGTGTTATTGAGTTGTTTCTACTGTGTCACTTGAGTGATGATGAGTGGTGCAACCGAATAATCGAACATTCGTGCAACGATAAACCTCCGAAGTCTCTCGCGAACATTCGCTACTATTTGACCCGCGTGTTATTGAGTTGTTTTTACTGTGTCACTTGAGTGATGATGAGTGGTGCAACCGAATAATCGAACATTCGTGCAACGATAAACCTCCGAAGTCTCTCGCAAACATTCGCTACTATTTGACCTGCGTGTTATTGAGTTGTTTTTACTGTGTCACTTGAGTGATGATGAGTGGTGCAACCGAATAATCGAACATTCGTGCAACGATAAACCTCCGAAGGCTCTCGCGAACATTCGCTACTATTTGACCTGCGTGTTATTGAGTTGTTTTTACTGTGTCACTTGAGTGATGATGAGTGGTGCAACCGAATAATCGAACATTCGTGCAACGATAAACCTCCGAAGTCTCTCGCGAACATTCGCTACTATTTGACCTGCGTGTTATTGAGTTGTTTTTACTGTGTCACTTGAGTGATGATGAGTGGTGCAACCGAATAATCGAACATTCGTGCAACGATAAACCTCCGAAGGCTCTCGCGAACATTTGCTACTATTTGACCTGCGTGTTATTGAGTTGTTTTTTCTGTGTCCTTTGACAGTGATGATGAGTGGTGCAACCGAATAATCGAATATTCGTGCAACGATAAACCTCCGAAGTCTCTCGCAAACATTCGCTACTATTGGACCTGCGTGTTATTGAGTTGTTTTTACTGTGTCACTTGAGTGATGATGAGTGGTGCAACCGAATAATCGAACATTCGTGCAACGATAAACCTCCGAAGTCTCTCGCGAACATTCGCTACTATTTGACCTGCGTGTTATTGAGTTGTTTTTACTGTGTCACTTGAGTGATGATGAGTGGTGCAACCGAATAATCGAACATTCGTGCAACGTGAACCTCCGAAGTCTCTCGCAAACATTCGCTACTATTTGACCTGCGTGTTATTGAGTTGTTTTTACTGTGTCACTTGAGTGATGATGAGTGGTGCAACCGAATAATCGAACATTCGTGCAACGATAAACCTCCGAAGTCTCTCGCGAACATTCGCTACTATTTGACCTGCGTGTTTTTGAGTTGTTTTTACTGTGTCACTTGAGTGATGATGAGTGGTGCAACCGAATAATCGAACATTCGTGCAACGATAAACCTCCGAAGGCTCTCGCGAACATTTGCTACTATTTGACCTGCGTGTTATTGAGTTGTTTTTTCTGTGTCCTTTGACAGTGATGATGAGTGGTGCAACCGAATAATCGAATATTCGTGCAACGATAAACCTCCGAAGTCTCTCGCAAACATTCGCTACTATTGGACCTGCGTGTTATTGAGTTGTTTTTACTGTGTCACTTGAGTGATGATGAGTGTTGCAACCGAATAATCGAACATTCGTGCAACGATAAACCTCCGAAGTCTCTCGCGAACATTCGCTACTATTTGACCTGCGTGTTATTGAGTTGTTTTTACTGTGTCACTTGAGTGATGATGAGTGGTGCAACCGAATAATCGAACATTCGTGCAACGATAAACCTCCGAAGTCTCTCGCAAACATTCGCTACTATTTGACCTGCGTGTTATTGAGTTGTTTTTACTGTGTCACTTGAGTGATGATGAGTGGTGCAACCGAATAATCGAACATTCGTGCAACGATAAACCTCCGAAGTCTCTCGCGAACATTCGCTACTATTTGACCTGCGTGTTTTTGAGTTGTTTTTACTGTGTCACTTGAGTGATGATGAGTGGTGCAACCGAATAATCGAACATTCGTGCAACGATAAACCTCCGAAGGCTCTCGCGAACATTTGCTACTATTTGACCTGCGTGTTATTGAGTTGTTTTTTCTGTGTCACTTGACAGTGATGATGAGTGGTGCAACCGAATAATCGAACATTCGTGCAACGATAAACCTCCGAAGTCTCTCGCAAACATTCGCTACTATTTGACCTGCGTGTTATGGAGTTGTTTTTACTGTGTCACTTGAGTGATGATGAGTGGTGCAACCGAATAATCGAACATTCGTGCAACTATAAACCTCCGAAGTCTCTCGCGAACATTCGCTACTATTTGACCTGCGTGTTATTGAGTTGTTTTTACTGTGTCACTTGAGTGATGATGAGTGGTGCAACCGAATAATCGAACATTCGTGCAACGATAAACCTCCGAAGTCTCTCGTAAACATTCGCTACTATTTGACCTGCGTGTTATTGAGTTGTTTTTACTGTGTCACTTGAGTGATGATGAGTGGTGCAACCGAATAATCGAACATTCGTGCAACGATAAACCTCCGAAGGCTCTCGCGAACATTCGCTACTATTTGACCTGCGTGTTATTGAGTTGTTTTTACTGTGTCACTTGAGTGATGATGAGTGGTGCAACCGAATAATCGAACATTCGTGCAACGATAAACCTCCGAAGGCTCTCGCGGACATTTGCTACTATTTGACCTGCGTGTTATTGAGTTGTTTTTTCTGTGTCACTTGAGTGATGATGAGTGGTGCAACCGAATAATCGAACATTCGTGCAACGATAAACCTCCGAAGGCTCTCGCGAACATTCGCTACTATTTGACCTGCGTGTTATTGAGTTGTTTTTACTGTGTCACTTGAGTGATGATGAGTGGTGCAACCGAATAATCGAACATTCGTGCAACGATAAACCTCCGAAGGCTCTCGCGAACATTCGCTACTATTTGACCTGCGTGTTATTGAGTTGTTTTTACTGTGTCACTTGAGTGATGATGAGTGGTGCAACCGAATAATCGAACATTCGTGCAACGATAAACCTCCGAAGGCTCTCGCGAACATTTGCTACTATTTGACCTGCGTGTTATTGAGTTGTTTTTTCTGTGTCCTTTGACAGTGATGATGAGTGGTGCAACCGAATAATCGAATATTCGTGCAACGATAAACCTCCGAAGTCTCTCGCAAACATTCGCTACTATTGGACCTGCGTGTTATTGAGTTGTTTTTACTGTGTCACTTGAGTGATGATGAGTGGTGCAACCGAATAATCGAACATTCGTGCAACGATAAACCTCCGAAGTCTCTCGCGAACATTCGCTACTATTTGACCTGCGTGTTATTGAGTTGTTTTTACTGTGTCACTTGAGTGATGATGAGTGGTGCAACCGAATAATCGAACATTCGTGCAACGATAAACCTCCGAAGTCTCTCGCAAACATTCGCTACTATTTGACCTGCGTGTTATTGAGTTGTTTTTACTGTGTCACTTGAGTGATGATGAGTGGTGCAACCGAATAATCGAACATTCGTGCAACGATAAACCTCCGAAGTCTCTCGCGAACATTCGCTACTATTTGACCTGCGTGTTTTTGAGTTGTTTTTACTGTGTCACTTGAGTGATGATGAGTGGTGCAACCGAATAATCGAACATTCGTGCAACGATAAACCTCCGAAGGCTCTCGCGAACATTTGCTACTATTTGACCTGCGTGTTATTGAGTTGTTTTTTCTGTGTCACTTGACAGTGATGATGAGTGGTGCAACCGAATAATCGAACATTCGTGCAACGATAAACCTCCGAAGTCTCTCGCAAACATTCGCTACTATTTGACCTGCGTGTTATGGAGTTGTTTTTACTGTGTCACTTGAGTGA